AAAAATTAGATAACATTAGATTACCAAGAAATAGACTAACCGGTGGTGTTTTATATCCTGGAATGGGAAGACTTGGTATGTATGGAGGAATGGATATTCCTCTTGGAAGAGGAATGCAATATGGACGTCACCACATTTTCCCAGGAATGGGATATGGATATTTCCCTAATGGATATCCACTAGGATACAATTATCCAAGTTATGGATACCATCCAAGATTTGCTCGTTACAGTCAATTCATGAACTATGATCCAATGAACAGTCCATATTATTAAAACAATAATTTATGTTCAAGTAATATTTTTGTTATTCTATGGAAAATAGAAAGAATATTAAAAAATTAAGAAATAAAATAATAAACATTAATAAAAAAACTAGAAAATTAAAAAGAAAAAGAAAAACTTAAAAAGGAAATGAACCCAGAACAAGCTGCACTTCAACAATTCCAACAATTAAAACAAGACCAAAACATGTTGGCTAGACAACTTGCTGATATGGATTCAACACTAAAAGAACATAGACTTGTATTAGATGTTTTAAGTAAAGTTGAACCATCAAGAAAATGTTTCAGATTAGTCAATGGGGTAATGGTAGAAAGAACAGCATCAGAAGTTATTCCAGCAATTAACAAATCGATTGAACAAGTTTGTTATATTTATAAATATTTAATATTTTAAATTAGAATTAATTTATATATAAAAAATGAAATAAAATAATTAATGAACAAATAGATTCAACAATTAATGAAAGAGTTAAATGATAACATTGCTTCAAAAACTTCTGAAATTAATAAGTTTATGGAGCATTATAAAATTCAACAAAGAGATCAACCAATTCTTGCTCAACCATAATTGATTTCTCTTTAATATGATTTAATCTCTTCTTTTTTAATTTATTTTGTTTAAAATAACAAAAATAAATATAATGTTTTTAATAACCATATTTTTAATATAAATTAGAAAGAATATCTTAAAATCTTTTCAGTTTTAAAGTTCTTTTTTCTGTGGAATAATTCCTTCTTCAAAAATATCTAAAACATCTTCCATTGCATCAGTTAAATCAAAAGAGTCATCATATTGATAATTTGGACTTTCATTCTTAAAATTAAATTTCATTCCATTATAATGATAAAATACTACTTTTGGGAATCCTTTAGTTTTTACTTCTTCTGACTCACCAAATGTTTCAGTAAAAATAGGGTCAGAATCATCAGCAACAACTACAACAAATTTTGAAGTTCTTTTCATATAACTTTCATCTTGATTAAAATCTAATACTTTTCTAATAGCATCATCAATAACATTTGATTGTAAATAAATTACCATAATTGGCATTTCACGTCTTTTTGCTTCAAGTAATCCATTTTCCCAATCACGAACATTAAGTCCTTTATAATCCATAGAACTCCACATACTTGAACGGGCAAATGCAAATGCCAAAAGTAAACAAAATGTTAACATGGTTTAATGAAAATAAGATGAAGTTTGCCATATCATCATTGTGTGTAACGTTTCATATTTTTTGGATAATAAAAAAATACAAAACAAAACTGTTATTTGAATAACACAAATAATGAACAATACAAACACATATTTCAGTAAAGAAGAGTTTGAACGAGCAAGGGGAAGAAGAGAAGCATTTTCAAAATTAGAATATAATCAAAAAGATGAAACAAGGAAGTTAGTAGAACAATTTTTAATTATTGGAGCAACTAGTTCAGAAGATTGTGAAGCAAAAATTCTTTATAGATATCCAGATATTGATATTGAAAATTTTGAATATAAAATTATTTCATTATATTGTTTTCCTGAAGGATGTAAAACACAAAAAAAAGAAGCAATTTCAACTGAAGATTTATTTCAAATAGAAAAAAGTATTAAAGAAGGGTGTATTAATGTAAGTAATTTTTTTAGTTTAAAAATGGCAAGTCCAAAAAATGGAGTTGAAAGAAATGGATTATGTTTTTCAATAAAACGAATTGAAATTGATAAACAAAAACCATTAATTTACTATGAAGACGAAATTGTTTATATGATAGTTAGTACAAGTTCACGTTATCTTCTTTTAATAGAATTTATAGAAGCATTAATAATGAATGAAAGAAATATAAATTGGTTTAAAACAAATAACATAACAAAAAAAACATTTGAAAGTTATTTTAAACAATTTTTTAATTTACCTGAAAATTATCAACAAACAGTTAACTTATCATGGAATAAAAATTTACTTGAAAATATTGAATGTCCTTTAGGGTGTTGTTTATTTATTAGAGTTATTCCAGTTGAAGATTTAATAATTTTATTATCTGCATTAGTTTTACAAAGAAAGTTATTAATTAAAAGCAAAAATAGATGTATTTTAAGTGGTGCATTATCTTTTCTTACTCAAGCAGTTAAACCTTTTAGTTATGACTCACCTATAATTAGTGTATTAATAAATGATCTTTTTGATTTAATTGATTCTCCAACTCCTTTATTAATTGGATGTAATTCTTTACCAAATGAAATTCCTGAAAACTCTATTTTATATGATATTGATGATAAATTTATGCAAAAATTCACTGATGACTTTATTCTTCTTCCAAATGCTAATGAAATTGCTTCTTCTATTGAAGATATAAGAAAACCTTTAAAAAATTGTAAAAATCATCCAACTCATTTTTGTTTAAAAGAACATAGTCGATATATTCAATGGGCATTACAAAAAATTCAAATTGAGTTTAGATTAATGGTAGATAATTTTGATGATTATATTGAAACTTTAAAAGAACCTGGAAAACCTCAAATTAGTTTATTTAGAAAAAAAGATTTTATTGAAGAAGCTGAACCAAAGTATCTTCCTTTTTTAAAAGAATTTTGTGAAACTCAAATGTTTGAGTCATTTATTAATGAAAAATTAGATGCATATGATTATGGTAAATAATATTTGATTCTAGTTCTATTAGAGCACTTTGATAATAAAATTTATTATTTAGTTATTAATAGATTTTTTTTAAATTAATTTTTATGATTTTATATTTATATATTATTTAATTCAAATTTTTTTTCCTTTGTTTTAATTTTTTTCAATTCCTTTTTTTTTATTTACTTTAATTGAGTTATTTTCTTAATTTAATAAAACTAAAGTAATACTTTTGAGTGTTCTTTTAACTTAACTCTATTCAAAAATTCATTCATTTCATTTTCTTTACACATCTATTCAGTCATTGTAAGTACTAAATATCAAAACAATTTATATTTTTATACTAATAATTTGCGTTATTCTTTTTGATTGCATAAATAAATTATTCTTATACTTGAAACTAAACTTTTAAAAGCAGTGTCCAAGTATTTTAATTAAACAATTTGGTAATATAAATAAATTTTTGTTTAATAAAACCAAAAATATACATTACTTTATTATAACAAAAAAGAAATAGCTCAGATTTATACTGGTTTATGATGTCTTCATACAATTTATATTAAACTTACATTTAAGATAAATTTGCAGAAGCAGGACTGAATCATCATTGCACATAAAAGAAAGAAAATATTTTCAAATAGTTTAATGATTAATTAATAAAATAGAATTGTGGTTGAATAAAATAAAATTATTAAAAACTATTAAAATTATTATTTCTTAACTAGGAATAGAAATAAAAGAAGAAGGAACTTCATCATATTTATCTTCAGTTAAAGAATGAAAGAGGGGAGCTGATAATTGACTTTTAATTGTTTCAACTTGGCTTTGTTGATCTTTTAATTTTAAAGGTGGAAGAATAATAAAATCAATTGGTGTTTTTCTTTCTTTTTGAAATTTGTATTCTTCCATAGCTACATGATAAATAGGACAAGCTTGTAATGAATTTTTTAATGTTTTTAATCTAATAAGACTAGACAAATACTGTTGTTGTAATTTACTAGTATTTAATTTGAGTTGTTCTAATTTTTTAACCATTTTATTTATTGTATATCTATTTTTTAAAAGAAGTTTATAGAAACTTTTTGTTCTGTGAACTTTTTTACTATTCATTGTATTTATATTTTGTTTTTGTTTTTTGTCTTCTTCTACATCTTTTGAAGACTCTAAAATGAATGGATGATTTCCTGAAAAGGTGTTTGGTTCAATGGCCATTACACTGTTGTGTTGTGTAAATGCAGATGTTGAATATAAAAAAGTTTCTTCTTTTGGTGGCAGTGAGTCCATAAAAATTAATTTTATAGGTTTAATGAGATTGTCTCTCTTATCTTTTTTATTTCAGGGCTCTTTTTTTTAATACTTCCCTACTTTTTCCTGATGCAAAGAAAAAGTATCTGTAAATGATTTTAAAGGATAGAAACCAATTTCTTAGTTCTTCTTAATGAAAAAATTACAAAATTAAAATTATTAATAAAATTGATAAAAATACTATTAATAACTTAATTAACTATTCGTTTATATTATAATAAATAAAGTATAAATTATAATATTTTATTAAATTATTTAGATTAATTATTTTTTCTTTTATTTAGTATTTAAAAGTCTAATAAATACAAAAATTTAAATTAAATTAGTGTTTCTTAATATTTATTTGAAATTAAACATAAAAAGTACAAATAAATAAAAAAGGTATTAAAACTATTCGATTATATTTCAGCTTAAATCTTTTAGAAAATCAAATTGATTAAAATAACTTTTTTCAATTATAAATGGTTTGAGATATTTAAAAAAATAAAAAAATAAATTTTAAATAAAACATAAGTTTGTTTCAATATCTTTTAAATTATTATTACATTTTAGATTATTTTCTAAGTTTATAAAAAAAATGATTTAAATTCTATTTTAAAACCATCCAATTTGTTTATTAAAACAAAAAAAAGAATAAATAAAAAGATAAAAATAATTTACTAAATAAAAGAACATTAAATAGCAAATAATAGTCATAAGAAGTTATTAATAATCACCTAAGTAAAGAAGCATTGAAGCGTTTGTTCTTAAGAAATCAAAATTTCTTTCATATCCTAACTTGAGCCGTTCATCTTCTATATGAAGAATACAAGAATTGAATTGTCTTAATAATGAACGATTTAAATTCCAAATTTTTTTTTCATCAGAACGTTCATTAACTAATTGTAATTTACAAATCTTTTGATATTCACCAAATACAATAGATGCACGAATACATTTTCTTCTTTTACAAATTTCAATTGATTTTCCTTCTTTATAAAATTGTTGAACGATTTGTAAAACTAATTTATATTTAACTTTAAAAACAATTTCTTTTGGAGCTTTACTAAGGTCAGTATTTGAAAATACTAATTGATTTGCTTTACAATTGATATCTGAATTTTTAATGAGATTAACTTTCTCTTTATTCGGTGATTGAACTATTGAAGTATTGATTAAATCACTTGAAATTCCATCTTCTTTTTGTTTGTCATCTTGAGATTGAGTGGCTTTTAAAACTAAATTTTTTTCTGTTTGTGTTACAGTTTTCTTTCTTTTTCTAGTGGATCTTTTAATTTTACTTTCTGTAATGATATTTAGTTCTGTTTGAGACTCAGAATCAGTTCCACCTTCTAAATTTTCCATTTGTATTTGTGTAGGCATTTCGGTTGGAATTTTTCGTTCAGGTTGAAGTATTATCTCTTGTTTAAGTTGTTCTATTTCTTTTTCATATTGACTAACTTTTAATTTCATCATTGAGCTTTCATATTTTATTTGTAATTTTTCTGTTCTTTCGTTTTCAATAATATTTTGTTTCTCTTCTAACTCTTTTTTTAATTTAGTTAATTGTACTTGATATGAACTTTGATCTTCTTCTATTTTGCTTGCATACTTTAAACATGTTTCTTCATATTTTTTTGTTAACTCATCCAAATCTGTTTTTAAATTTTTATTTTCTTGTGTTAATTGTTGAATAATACTTTCTTGAAAGAGGGTTTTATCTTTAAGTAGTAATAAGTTAACGTAGTCATTGATAGAAATTTTAATACTTGTTTGAATGTTCATTATCTTTTTTGTTTTATTCAGTTCTCTTATTTCTAAATATTCTTTCGTTGGTTTTTTTTAATTCTTTATTTTCTCTTTAAATTTCATCAGATTTTTCCTTTATACCTTATTTTCTTTATGTCTCATTCATTTAACCGTAATAACCAATTTTCTTAATGGGCTCCATTCTGGTGGTGTTTATAGTATAATATTTTTTCTTTGAACTGTTAAAATATTCATTTCTCTAATACTTCAATTGTACTTGTTAAGCTAAAATGTTATTCCAAAGAATGACACAAAATATTACTATAATTATACTTATATGTTATATATCTCAAAATAATTTAACCATTTGGAAAAATAAGAAATTCGGGGAATGGAAAAAAGCACGAAAATAGTTGAAACAAATTAAAAAAAGATAGAACACGTGGCATAAAATAATCAAAAAACAAACAGAAATGAAATAAAAACTTATTAGAAAGAAGTTTAAAGAACAGACTATGATTGAAGAATTTGTAACGAGGATGAGAGGTATAAAAAGAAGACAGGAACTTTACCAAACTTGATAATCATTTGTTCATGTTTTGTTGTAAAAAAGCCGATAAGAGTGATTATGAAGATGCAAAGAAAGAAGATAAAAAAGAGGAATTAAAGAAAGAAGAAGACAAAAAGGAAGAAGACAAAAAGGAAGAAGACAAAAAGGAAGAAGACAAAAAGGAAGAAGACAAAAAGGAAGAAGATAAAAAGGAAGAAGATAAAAAGGAAGAGGCAAACGAACAAAATAAAGAAGAAAGTAATGAGGACAAAAAGGAAGAAGAAAAAGAAAGTAGTGAGAGTTCTTCATCTTTAACTCCAACATCTGAAAGTGAGAAAAAAGAGGTCACAGAAGAACCTAAACAAGAAGAACCTAAACAAGAAGAACCTAAACAAGAAGAACAAGCAACTGAAGGTAATGAGAGCGATAAAAAAGAAAGTTCATCTTCTAGTAGTATCAAAGAAGACCAGAAACAACAACCCCTTGTAAATGAAGTTCCAAAAGAAGAAGAAATACACGAAGAAAAGTCAGCTGATGATTTAAGGGAAGAACCTAGAAAGGAATCTTCATCTTCTTCCAACAGCGAAGAAGAATCAAAAGAAACTGAAGAAAAGCCAAAAGAAGAAGAAGAAAAGAAAACAGAAGAAGAAGAAAAGAAAACAGAAGAAGAAGAAAAGTCAAATGAAACACAAGAAAAACCAAAAGAGACCGAAGAAAAGATAACAGAAGAAGAACCAAAAGAGACCGAAGAAAAGCCAAAAGAAACTGAAGAAGAACCAAAAGAGGTTGAAGAAAAGCCAAAAGAAACTGAAGAAAAGCCAAAAGAAACTGAAGAAAAGCCAAAAGAGGTTGAAGAAAAGCCAAAAGAGGTTGAAGAAAAGCCAAAAGAGGTTGAAGAAGAACCAAAAGAAACTGAAGAAAAATTAGAAGAAAATAAAAAATCAGAAGATAGTTCAACAAAAAGTGACTCTTCATCAACTCTTTCTTCCTCAAGCAGTAAATCAGATACAAGCGATAAAAAGTCAAGAGATTTGAGTGAGTAATAATACATTTATTTAAAATATTTTTATTCTTTTCATGGAGGCATTTGTTATTTTATTAAACTAATTTTACTTCTTAAAGAAGAAAGCAAAAAAGAAGAAATCAACACATTCAAAATAAAACCAAAGAAATGGAAGAAATTATTAAATATCAAACATAAAAGGAAAGAAGAAGAACGAAACATTTCAAATGAGATGATTCAAAAAAAAAACATGAGATAGAGTTAGAGAAGAGAAAGAAATAAAAGAGATGAAAACACAAATAAACAAGAATCAAATTACAAGTAATGAAATAAGAAAACTTAAAATTAAAAGAAGAAAATAATTTATAAAATGAAAAATAAATGAAATAAAAAGTAGAAATAACAAAGAAATATGAAATAAAGATGAAATCATCATTCTCTAAGTAAATTATGAGCAATTGAATAAGAAGAAGAAGAATGATGATGAGAAGAAGAACATAAGAAATAAATAAAATTAAAACATTGAATATAAAAAAAGTTGAAATGAAAACTATGAGATTGAAGAAAAAAACAAAAGAAGAATTAAACAATACACAAAATGAAGAATAAAATCAATTAATATTAAATCATCAACAATTTATTGTTTATTTTTTATTTCATAAATAAAGAATAAGAAAATAATGATAAATACACAACAAATATTGAGAATATAATTATCATTTGAGATAATACAAATGAATAAAACTACAATTATGAAAAAGATAATATTAGAAATAAAAGAACAAAACACTGAATATCAAAAAACAAAATGATAATCAAATAAGAATAAAATAAAACAAAACAAATTAAGTAAATAGAAATTAATTGATATGTTGTATTAATTTGAATTAATTTGATAAATAAGAAATTAAATAATAAAATAAGAAAAGAATAAATATAAAATATAATAAAAATGATAAATATTAATGTAAATAATGACAAAGAATATATTAATAATATTAAATTATCATATAAAATAAACAATTAAATTATATATTAAAATGAAAATAAACTCAATCATAGAATATAAAATAGAGTATAATTTAATAATAAAATATCAATATGAAAAATAATTGTATTAATATAATAAATATATTACTATTATTATTCAATTAAAATAAATAAAAAATAAATCAAATCATAATTTAGAATGAAAGATACAAGAATTATGATAATATTATCATCATAATGGATGATTTAATTTTAATTATAATGAAAATAATTAAATAATATATGAATTGATATATTATAATATATTTATATTAATTAAAGAGAATACAATCAAAAGAATATTATTTTAATATATTTAATGATTAGTTGAAATTTAATGAAATAAACCAATTAGAAATGGTAAATTAAAGAATATTATTAATTAATAAATGATATTATAAGAATATTATCATTAATTATAATCTTATCAATTATAAAATGTAATTATGAAAATATTTAAATCATTATTAAAAGATAATATTCATAATAAAATTAATATGAATAATGAATAATTTAAAATTATTAAAAATCAATTATGATATATTTATAATTTCTTAATAATAAAGAATGAATAATTAATAATCATAAATTAAATCCTCAGAAAGAAAAGAAAGAAATATTTAAATTCATGTTATGAAATTAATAAATTATATGACTTATTGAGTCATGAATAATAATAAAAAATAAATAAAATAATTTAATATAGAATGAATTATATAAATAAAAAGAAATATGATGAATAAAATGAATATAATTATATAATATAAATATAATTAATATAAATAATATATTAAAATGATGAATTTTATATTATGATTCATTATCAATTGTATCATCATCAAAATAAATATAAATTTTAATTCATTGAATAGAAATTCAATAATATAAATCATATATTATATAATAATGAAATGAGAATAATGGTACAAAATAATGAAGAAATGAGAATAATTAATGAATAAATTAAATAATAATTTAGAATAAAGAAATAAATAAAAAATAAAATAAGAATTAAAAATATTAATCAAATAATATTTTGAAATAAAAATATCTAAATAAATGAAAGAGATAAATTGTATAAATATTTAAATATATGATATTTAAATGAAATTAATAATATATTTA